TTTGTTCTCACAAAATGCAACCATCAAAGATCATTTTATGACTTGGTATGAAAATCAACTGGTGGGCATAAAGCAGCAATTTTACAATGACATTAAACATAGCTCCAGCAGTAATTCTGTAAATTGTGGGCAAGGATCGACCATTGGCTTTGAACATGGTTTGAGCAATAATTCCATCTCTAAATATAAATTGGATAACAATTCATTGTAGTTAGTATGCTAAGTAAACACCCATTAGGGGTTTTTCGTAGGTCACAAGCTAAAGAGAAACTTGTAGAAAGTGTTTGTCTTCAACTATATTCTTTGAAGCATGTGGTGCATCACGGGGGGTCTGGGAGGAGAGAGAAAATGAGGAACAGCGCCAGTGGCCACGAGTAAGCAAGCATCCCCCCTGACAAGTGTAAGAAAATAAACCAAGTAGCCGAACCCACATTCCCAATGTAGAGCATCTAAGCCCAGGAGCCCAATGATGAAGCTGTCTGATCCATGTAGTATCAATCTGATACTTTCTAATCCTATTGACCTTTCCAGATGATGTAGCATTTCATGACCTTTGTTTGTGTGAAAATCCCTCTGTTACAATACAATATCAGCCAGGGAGGGAAAACGTCCATATGCCGCAGTTCTGCCCAGCCCACCCGCAGCCTGGAGGCATGGCTACTGAGCGATGAGTCCTTGTAAACTCTGGCAACTCTGAACGCATGCTAATGCAATGAAATCAAGGATGGAACCCAATATTCATAATTTGGGGGAATCAAATTTTAAGAATCACTTACTGAAAACCCCTTACTAATTGACATTTTTGAATAATGGCTGCATTAGACGTCTATTTTAAAGCTGGTTTAAACTGGTCAGTGATGGTTTGGAGCTTGCAAAGCTGACTGGTGAAGTTTTGCCAGTTCAGTTAGTTAAGAATCCTCTTGGAACAGCAGCATGCAGCATCCCATTCTGGGCACCAGTATCCCAAACTCGACAGTATGGCTACTGTAGGTTTGCTGGGGTTTTCAGAAGGCAATGCCTGGCATGAAACCTTTGGTATTTTCATAAAACAATATTATGAGATTGTGAGTTATAAATTGAACGTTTCATTGTCTTCGTACTGGTAATAAGGGTATGAATATGTACTCTACTGTCATGTATGGTCTTTTCTCTGAGAGTTTGAGAACAAATGACAATTACACAGACAGCTTCTGTTTGCGCAGCCAATTAGCTGCTTTGTGCTTTTGCTGGATGTTTCAGAAGGACAGCTGTTCCTCATCTAGCCAGGAGTTCTAGTTGTCCGCCCGGTCCTCTGTTGGCCGGTCTAGAATTCCCTCCACAAGCAACACTGCATATGTCCTGCTCATAAACCTTTAGCACTTCCATGTGGGTGTAAAGTCCCTCTCCTCTCATCTCTACATGACGCCTCCGCTAACCTCTGCGGTCAGTTTACATCTACATTATCAAGTGTCAGTTTGACTACTTTTTTAAACTCCAACCATATTTCCCTTCCATCCTATTCCTTAATGGGACCTTCAAACTTCAAAACTTGAAGAAATATTCACAGCAAATTTGCATGTGTTGGAAGTTTTTTGCCTCCTGGAATCAAACTTGATGCTGTTTGGCCCTAATTTCCGGTGCTGAAGATAATATTGAGTTGCAGAGTATTAGCTATGCCACCATGTGGTAACACCTGGAAAGAAAGCAAACCTAAGATCTGATATGGCCAAATAAAATGTACCTACTAATTATGCATAATGAGAATTAGGTATTCTGAGCTATCGAAAGGTAGCAGATATGAACAATTTTTCCTGGGCTTTGTTGTGTTGTGCCAATGCACCAGCGTTTACGCGCCCTATAGCCGCCTGCCCACCGCTTCAACAGATAAGCAGGCAGGAAACAAAAAATGGATTTATTTGATGCTCCATAACAGCACGGTCTGGCAAAAGTGGGCCGACAAGTGAGAGACAACTCCTTAATGAGAATCCTCAAAGGGAACAAGGCAGAGGGCAAAGCAATGACTCCCGTGCTAAAGATATTTGGAGAGGAGATATTTCACAGGCTTACACCACTGAGATTCCCCACAGTGAACTGTCTTCAGAGGGTTTCTCAAAAAATAGAGCTATAAAATGGGCTTTTGAGAAGTTCAGCCTGAATTCAGGCATTTAACCTCCTTGCAATTATTCTTTTTTGATATCTAACATGTGTTTGAGATTGATAATTATGTTTGGTCAATAGACACAAGTTGGTTCAAAGAAATTATAGTGTGTATGGGGAGTTGTGTTGAATATGAAACAGTATGATTATGTGCAATACATTACATGTTAGTTTAAAGCAAAGAGAATATAATTAATCTTAAGTTTAATGTAGAAAAAAATCCATAGAATGATAATCAGGATGATGAAATCAACAGATATTCAAGTTAGTTCGCAGCACAAGGTGACCTGAGATTTTTCTTTGAGCTAAAATGAACAAAAGTCATACAGAACTTATTCAAAAAGATATTCTACTCCCATTATGTCATTTTAAAATGATAGGTCACCTTACAAAAATGTCCTGTTTGGATTTAAAGGCATGTTTTAAGTTTTTGGTTGCTTAGCAAATCGACTTCAAATCGAGTTTCTCATAGGTATTGATACAATTTTGGAAGATTTTGTCATTGTTTATAAGCATATAGGATATTATCTGAAAAGATATAAACATGTAAGCGGAAAATCTGCAGCCAAATTTATGACTGCATGCCATGTTTTCTGAATTGAATCAATCCTAATTTGCATTTCTGTGTTTCTTTGAGTCGCCACTGTCGCCATCCTCCTCTTTTGAACGCAACAGACTTCCGCTTTCTATTCTACTCAACACTGCTATATCACAGGCTTTGAGATCAGAGTAAATGTAAAATTCATGGATTTGGTTTGCCCAGAACGTGTGGATTAAGCTACAGGGGTAGTTAGTCAGGTCAGTGGAAGAAAGAGAAATTGCTTTTTCTCTGTGCATTGTGGGAGTCACGATGCCATAATGAAAGTCAAAGAGGAGCATTGATGTGTTCTCAGAGTTTTGTTTGTTTGCCTGTTTGTGCATTCTGAACCTACTTTGTCTTATGTTTCTTTCATTGTTGCAGCTGTCGTATGACGGCAGACATCTATAGGGCATTACTCGTGGTTATGACATGAAGAAATATATTTTTGTTTGATTTCAAAGCCCATAACAGCATGCCTTGGGGCGAGGGGATTCTGTAAGAAAACAACCACATCTTCCTTTTTCTCATGAAAAAACTAAGTAATGATTGAACTGATTGCAAGTAGAAAAATAAACAGCCCTGCTATTTTCTCATCACAGGCAAACCAAAGCCAACTGTATTCGATAGCTGATTTGAAATTCACAGCCAATTCATTTATCAATTCATTTTCTTCACACAATCTCATATAATAAAATGTGACGAAAACAAACTTTCAAGAGAATCTCAGCCTCCTCAAATTCCGTCACACACTGCCTTCAAGTCATGTAGGAATGATCACGTTTGAGATGAGTGAACATGAGCACCACCAAAATGTCCTAAATACCAGTGGGAAACGCTGGATTATGTTTGAGCCCTGGGCTTTGTAGGAGTGGGAGTAGCGGCGATTAAAGAATGGCTGAATCAGAGTTACGGGCCATTTCAATGTTGTTGTCTTGAAAATTGTGAGACGTGGGCAGTGGAATGGGGGAGACATGAACTTGAGCAGCACATTTGTTTGTGTTATGTGCAAATCAGTGCAAAAGATGCGACACAGAGACACAAAGGTCAAAGGATGTCCTTCTAGAGCATGTTTCTGTAGAAAAAAAACAAACAAAAAACTATGGAAAAGCAGCACAATAGAATGCAAAAATGTAATCTGTATTGGTCTTAAAAGTATGTTGCACGGCTCGACAGTGAGCATTTCACTCGCATTTGCAACTAAAAGTAGATGTGTGCTCACAAAAAAATTATTAGGGGTCTGTAAAAAGTCTAAAATGGTCTAAAAAGTAAAATATTTTATTATATTTAAAATTTGGGGATGGAATAAAAGGAATCATGATACAGCCTATCCACCTTATTTTTCAACGTGGACGAAAGCTGCTTTCTGTGCGAGACTTCTTAGCATTAGCTGCTATAGGGCAATAACAAGAAGAATATCAAAGTGCAGTAAACTGTATACGCTACAAATCAGTGTGTTTATAATTAAGACAACACATTAAAATATGGTAAAAAAAAAAACACTTGGCATTAAAAAGGCTATGATTTCATTTAAATGGAGTTTGAAGTAAAAACGCAGTGATGTTGAGTGTTCTACAGGTTTGTGGTTTTAGAGCAGTTTGCAGTTAATGAATACCATGCATTTATGATGATTGTTGAACTAATATTACATATTTCTTCTTATGATTCTTCTTGTTTAATGGCGAATAACTCCTTAGGGGCATTATCGCCATCTACTGTACTGGATGTCAAGTAAACTTTCATAGGTGATGAGTCTGAAATTTGAGGGGAAAAAAAATAATTTTGGTGGATGTTTCATATTCTCTCCAATCTATTGCACACTCAGATCACATGCTCATGCTAGCGCTGCGTGTTCTAGTACATGTTTCTTTTCTCCCTGGTGTTTTAGAATGAGCAGCCAGCAATTGTAAAGCATAGACATTTCAAAATAGGAGTCACTTTGTATTTTGAGCTTGTTTCTAATTAAAAGTCACACATTCTGCATATGTATATATATATATATATATATATATATATATATATATATATATATATTTTTTTTTATTTTTTTTATGTATTTATTTTATTTCTTTCCCCCTGCTATTATTGTTATTTTGGTTACACAATAAACCAACAAATCGTCCTCTTATGTGCTGGACAGGAATGTCTTATTGTGTCCTTTAGTAAAGACAAACACATTATTGTACGCTTTTTCATTGCTCTAAAGCTGCTGAATTGTTCACCTTAGGGAAAAAAAACGAAACGTAAGTGTTGCAATTGAATTTGACCATCTGTTACGTTTCCTCAGGTGCCAGGATTCAGTATGAAAGGATTGGAAATGATGTCACTATGCAGTGCGGCTCGCTGGACAACGACGCCTCGGTAACATGGAAGGTGAATGGTACAGACGTGAAGGCCCGTCGGCGGGAAGAAGGACCACGGCTCATCCTGATGGAAGTGAACATGAGTAGCAATGGCCTGTACAGCTGCTTCCAGAACCCCGACGGCCAGCGCCGTGACCAGATCAATCTCCGGGTTGGACGTAAGTAGTGTCTGTTTATCCCGATTTCTTCTTCCTCCTCATATTCACTACATCCTTCCCAGAACTCCGAATAACCCTGCAGTGTTTACCCCGACACTTCTTTTTCTAAACAAGCACTGCGCTCGTTTCCGCCACTTGCTACCCGGTCATCTCATGGAGGCCAGTAACCTCTTGTTTGGATGTCTCCTCTGTGTATTTGCAGAGTCTAATTATTAACAACAAACTTCATTGTTTGACCCTGACCGCTCCTTGGTTCTCCTCCGGCCCCTGATCCCAAATTTTGTCTTCTCCAGCAAACAGCTGCTTCTGTCTGTGTGGGAGTCACTGGGGTTTTATGTCTTATCTATTTGTCTACTGGATTAATTTGTCATGCTAGATCTTTTTTTATGAGGACACACAACGAGATGGGAGAGAAGATAGTAGATGTCCAGATGTGCGCAATAGAGCAGGGTCATTGGGTAGGACTTCTGAGTGGCCTGCCCAGTTTATCAGTTACGTCCCCTTTCAGGCCTGTTACATTAACACTTGAAATCTTTTTTTGTTGTTGTTGATTTTGAGATTTTTGAGATTTGTTGATCTTGTACATCCATTTTTATGTTTTGAAAATGTGAATGTTTGGTTGAATTTTCGCTATTGTTTGGTTTAATTTTGGTTAAATTTTTGCCAAAAGTATGAAGTAATTTTTGGACATTTTTTTGGAACTGTATAACTTCAAACATTTTTTTTCTTATTCTTTTTTTTTGATGAAGAAAAAAAACATTGTAAAGAAAATTAAACACTGAAATACAGTAAACCTTATTAAAAAAATAATGACAAAAAATATAAATTTATTTTATTATTATAAAATGTACTTAAATATGAGCAAATAAAAAAAAATATTAATAATAATAAATCTAAATTAAATCTAAATGTGCACTTCTAGAAAACATAAGACATGTTTTCTGTTCAGGCAAGTGAAAATGTTGACAGGGCATCTAAAAAAATTTTTTTTTGAGTCCTGATTACACTTTATTAAAAATACTAATAATAAAAAACATTGAAAATCTCTAATGTAGGTCTATATGAAACATCAAATATGTACTGGCAGGCTGTGCACTTCATGAAGATGCAGAACAAAAGTTGGAGATGTGGTTTGTGTGACTTACACTTAGATCCTTTTCCTCAACTCTCAGATAAATAAAAAAAAGCTAAATTATGAACTGCTACACTGCAAAGCACCGTAATCAATATTATGTGACAACATGTTACCCATAACACCGCCTGCCAGCAATTTCATTGACTAATCAAATGAATGAATGATGAGGGGAAAAGTGGAGATGAGACCTCTTATGAGAACATGATGAGGGATGTGCTTCATCACCCGGCTCTCCGTACGTCCACGGATCCTGAAAATGACTGAACAAAATCTAAACGAGATCACGCAATTAATAAAAATGCTCTAATTCCTCTGAAGGAATTTCATGCTTTAATAATGCAACATTTCAAAGAGCATGAATTAGATTTCCTTGGCAAACTTGGCAAATAACACCGCCTGCCAGCAATGTCATTGACTAATCAAATGAATGAATGATGAGGGGAAAAGTGGAGATGAGACCTCTTATGAGAACATGATGAGGGATGTGCTTCATCACCCGGCTCTCCGTACGTCCACGGATCCTGAAAACGACTGAACAAAATCTAAACGAGATCACGCAATTAATAAAAATGCTCTAATTCCTCTGAAGGAATTTCATGCTTTAATAATGCAACATTTCAAAGAGCATGAATTAGATTTCCTTGGCAAAAACTACAGCAACTGTCTACTTTGTTTATTTTATTCTATCTCTGCAAACCTAAGGTAAAATGGAGAGCAAATTAAGACTTTAGTTAAAGGGATAGTTTACTTAGCCAATGTCGTTCCAAGCCTGAATCACTTTCCTACAGGTTGGGAAAGATGGAATGGTGAGTAAATCATGACAGAATTTAAATCCCTTTAAGACATTAATCCTACACGTGTCTCCTATGTTTACTTCTGGAATTAACATCTGTTCCAGGTGATCTAAACACAAGTGATCAGCCGAGACAGATTGCCATTTACACCTGGTATAGTAACATCCTAAATGCATCTTATGTGACCCTTTTGTGATCAGATTTCCTAACCACATACTTCACCACATCAGTGTGTTACTGCATGTTGATGGAGCATAAAAATTTGAAAAAGTCAGCACAGTTTAGCAGATGGGCCCATCTTAAAATTCTTTGACCAAGCGAAAGTGCGAACAGTATTTCATTATGTGACTTTTTGCTGCACAAAATCAGATTGTGAGCTGGTGGACCGGTGGCCGAGTGGCCACAGTTTCTTTGTCACAATGGCTGGGTCACGGGCAAGCCGGCTCAGCTAACAAGATAAGTTCTGCAGCTAAGTGCCTGAATGAGAATGGCATGGTCCCAAGCCCACAGACAGGGAGAGGCCCCTCCGCAAGTACGTCAAACACTCTGCCTGTCTGTGACTGGAACGCTTGCCAGGAATTAGAGGGGAAGAATCGAGTCTGGCCATTAACAAGGATTCCTGTAGTTCCTCTAAACAGTGTTTAGTGGTCTGTCATAACCAAAACAGCTTGTAGGTCAACTTTCACAGAGAAACCATAGGAAACAAGTTATGGTTTCCTTGATAATTATGATGGTTTTCTTTGTGCCCACGGATGATTCAAGATAGCTGGGTCCAGTTGCAGCTAACTTTTTTTGTTTCTTTCTAGACTTTTATTCAGCATTGTACTAGGTAGCCTTACCCCCAGTGAAATCCTAATCGTTCCAATGCATAAATATCAAATATGTTCTTATTGTTCATGATTCTGTTGCACTGTGCAGCATTTCTGGTTTTAGTGTGAACCTGTAGCTGGAAAGAGGACATTTCAAGAAATTCTACGAAGAGAGAAGAGGAATGGCATCAGTCTGTATTATGACATATGTTTGACTGTAACAGATTGTCACAAAAGAAAAAAGAGTGGGCTCTATCCATCAGCTGTTGATTTGATTTTGAGATGTGGGCATTGTGCCGAAAAATTAACATGAGTTTGCAGTCGATTGTGGCGGGGGCGGGGTTGAAGAACACTAAATGATTGGAAAAGTCCCGTATATGTCCAGATTAAAAAAAATATTGGTAACTAAAATTAGATGATGAATATTAAAAAATGTATTTGGGGGGCTCCAGTGATTAGCTTTCAAGGTATTGTCTGAAGGGCCCATGTTTTAAAGGGGTCATATGACGTTGCTAAAAATAACAATATTTTGTGCATTTGGTGTAATGAAATGTGTTTATGCAGTTTAAAGTAAAAAAAACCCACATTATTTTCCACATACTGTACATTTGTGTTTCTCCTCTATGCCCCGCCTTTCTGAAACACGTTGATTTTTACAAAGCTCATCGGTCTGAAAAGTGAGGTCTGCTCTGATTGGCCAGCTATCCAGTGCGTTGTGATTGGCCGAATACCTCAAGCATGAGACGGAAATGTTACGCCCCTAACCATACTGTGATGCTGTGTCCCAGCATGACGAGACAAAAACATTAAAACCCATTATAAACGGGGCATTTGTTGCATCCAGTGGGGACATAAGTACGGATTATAATGACTTATACTGTCTTTTTATGTGTTGCGTTGCATCACGCCGCGTAAACATAAAACCATTTCTGCATTTGTGATCGGAGAAACAACAAGCGCTACTCTACACTGCTCAAAACTCGCGTTTGAATCATCAGTGGCAAATCCTTTAAATATGAAAACATACTTACAGACTGTGAGTCAGAACAGCCGGCATTGTAGTCTACTCTACCAGGTTTAGGAAACAGTCCTCCCTAAAATGTTTAAATGTGTTTAAACGAGGCGTTTTAGGAGGGTGTGGAAGAGTCATAACTTTTATAAAGAATATCTCTTTGGGTTTGAGACTTTAGTCTTTGCAACTTCGGGGATCTTATCTATTCACGAACAGCTTGTAACACTCCAAAGAGAAAGGAAAACTTGAAATCGCATCATATGACCCCTTTAAGTTTGCTTTATATGCACCAAGGGGCATTGGTGTTCCTTTGTTGGTCTTGGACCCTTTCTCAGTGCAAGACCTCGGGACAAATAACCTAGTCCTGCAAACAGTTGCAGTAAATTTAATAAAAGTGAAAACTATTCAAGAACTCAACCTTTAACATGATCCACAACTAAGCTGCTCAAATTTGACTAGATTTTCTTGAAGTTATATTGCATAGTGTATTAGATTCTAACTTTTGTAATTACTGGGTACATGCAACCCCTTGATTTTGGGATAAATAATGACCTCATCTATTATATTTTCATAACGCTGTCTTGAAACACTCAGTAAGATCAATATGGTCATCGGTACCATTATTGGTTGGCAGGAAATATGATGCATAAGCATAGAAAAGTTTACTAATCGTGAGTGCTGTTTGCTACTTAAATGTTGGTCTTTCATTTAATCTTTCTGAAAGTTACCCATCCCAAATGTCTCACGAGCACCAAATGTGTCAATGAATTGAAATCGCTGACAGGTCAAATCCTATTTGCCATTGCACAAAAATAATGACAACCTGCCAAGGAGTTATCGTTTAAAAGATGAAGAAACAGGCAGTATTGGCCTTCAGTGCTATGCCAAGATAACAACTAAAGCATAAAGTCATTCAGAAAGTAATGCCAGACTGAAAAGCATACTTTCATGAAGAGTATAAGCACATGAAAAAGCATATTCACCAGCAAGTTACTTCTTGCAAAGTTCAAAACTTGCACCATCCTTTTCACTGCTACGGCTTTTCTGTTGCTTGTGGTCTGTCTCAATTTGGCTGTGAGAAACAAGAGAAAGCCATTAAAGTGGCATGTTTTGTCTGCCCTGGGATAGAGCTGCTTTCCTGAGGGTTCAGGCAGGACCACAAAGTATGCGAGGAGAAGCGAGCTGTGCTGTTGTCAGAGATAGCAAGCTCATGTTGGGCTTCTTTCCGGTGGTTGTCAGGGAGGAAGCTG